GTGCCCTGACTGGGAATCGAACTGTGACCTCCTGGTTCATAGGCTGACACTCAACCACTGAGCCATGCCAGCCGGGCAGTACACTTGCAATTTAGATACCTTGTTGTAGCTGCAATGGAGAAGGGGCAAGACTAGATAGAGACAAGGAAGCCAGGTAAGAAGCCACGCTGGGGCTCTCCAGGCAGCCGAGGTGAGGGCCTGACTACAGCAGGTGGGATAGAGGTGTCGGGACACATTTGAGAAGTTGCAAGGTTAAAAAATAAATAAAAAACTTGTGGGAGTTAAATCGGATCTAAGATAGAGCTTATTTTTATGCCTATATGTGATAGAACTATCTTGGCAGGACTCTTCAGCCAATCAGGTCAGGGAGTGAATACAGACTTTATTTATTTATTTTTTAATCATCACCCAAGGACATTTTTCCATTGATTTTTAGGGAGAGTGAAGAGAAAGAGGAAGACAGAGAGAAACACATCGATTGGTTGCCTCCTGCACGAGCCTCTCCCAGGCCCCGATCATGCACCGGTGGGGTCTGGGATTGCGAGAGGGCGCAGGCCAGGCTGAGGGACCCCAATGGTGCACGAATTCGTGCACTGAGTCTCTAGTTGTTATATATAAGTGTTTAATCCTACATGTTAATTCTACTGAGGTTCCTCGTGCGAGTCACTTCTCTCTCTCCTGCTGTTTTCAAGATCCTTTGTTTTTGACTTTTCAACAATTTGATTTCTTTCTCAGTGTGGATTTCTTTGAATTTTCCTCTGTGGAATGCCTTGATCTTCTTGGATGCGTAAATTCATGTATTTCATCAAATTTGGGAAGTGTTAGGCCATCTTATCTTCAAATGTTCTTTTGTTTCTTTCTGCCTATCCTCCCCTTTGGGGAATCCCACGATGCATATATTGGTATGTCTTATGGTGTCCTACAGGCCTCTCAGGGCTTGTTAGTTTTTTGTTCCTTTTTCCTTATGTGCCTCCAACTGTATAATCTCCATTGATTTTCTTCAAGTTCACAAATTCTCTTCTGCCTCCTCAGAGCTGCGTTGAGCCTTTCTGGTAAATGTTTCATGTCCGTCATTGCACTTTTCGGCTCCAGAATTTCTGATTTGCTTACTTTTATTACTATTATTATTATTTCTCTCTCTTTATTCATATTCTCTACTTGATACGACATCATTTACCTGGGTTCTTTTAGTTCCTTTTTCATAATTTCCTTTAGCTCTTTAAGCATATTTAAGACAGTTGCTTTAAAGTGTCTGTCTATTCACTGAGTTTCCTTAGGGACAGTTTTTATTCATTTCTCTTTTCTTGTGAATGGGCCACACTTTCTTGTTCCTTTGCACGCCCCATAATTTTTTTGAGGGAAACTGGAATTTTTAATATTACTATAAAGTGGCCATTCTGGATATCCGCTTACCTCCTCCCTCCAGGGCTTCTCGTTGCTTCTTCTTCTGGCTTGTTGGTTGAGTGACCTTTCTCAGCTATTTTTGTAAAGTCTGTATTCTTTGTCATGTGCGGCCACTGAAGTCCCTGTTCTGTTAGCTCAGTGGTCAGCTGGTGACTTGATAGAGATTTCCCCAAATGCCTGGGGGCGGGAGAGAGAAACCCAAACCCTCCCAGCCTGCAGATTCACTCCGTGTTGGAGCTGTCTTTCAACGCGCAGGCAGGCTGTTTACACTTCTACTTTATCTGTCGCTTCCGGCTTTGGTTGCCTAAAGGTCAGCCTGAAGTGAAAGCTCGGGGCTTTCTCTAGTCATTTCTGGGCAGGCATCCAGGCTTGTCAATGCATGTAGCCTTCTAAGTCCCGTGGTACACACAGGAGCTTTATAAACCTCGAGTCCCCCCAGGTTCTCCCTCTCCCTCCCCAGCCACTTCCCTCCCCAGCTGTTCAATATGTCTATTACTACCTGGGCTGCTATTCTTTTGTCTTTTTTTTTGTTCTTGAGTTGTAAGAGGGCCGCTCTTTATTTTTAAACGCTTTCACACACCACCTGGGAAGCCGCTTCTGTCCTGGGGAAGTTCCAAGGACAGTGGAACAAAGACAAGCTCTTGAGCTGTTTTCTTCAGGGAGCCACACACAACCACACACACAACCACAGTTACTTAAGAGTAAGATCTGAATTTCTGCCCTAACCGGTTTGGCTCAGTGGATAGAGCGTCGGCCCGCGGACTCAAGGGTCCCAGGTTCGATTCCAGTCAAGGGCATGTACCTTGGTTGCGGGCACATCCCCAGTGGGGAGTG